AAACGGGTAACTTCTGGTTTATAACGGAAAATAGGCACAACTCAAAACACCCTATTTAGTAATTTAGATAATTATATTGTATTGTTTACTAACCTGTAGTTACCATGGCAATCACACTTGAGAAGCCGGTGTGTAGTAGACACAGTCTCAAAGTCATAAGAGAAGATATCTTTCAGATCAGCTTGAGTAAAACTACACTGTTCCTCACCCTTATCAACAACACAAGTGCTCAGACCTTGCTTCCTTATCTGATAAATTATAAAACTGAGAACATGGTATTTCAAACTAGTGCAAGTTGTAACCATGTTATTAAATAAGGCCTCAAGTTATTCTGATTAAAAACCAAAGAATCAAAGAGAAGAACGTCTATTTTAAATTACCTGTCGTTGGAATATTTTCTCCTCGATTGTTCCGGTAGTCAAAAGTCTATAAATAGTAACATTCTTCCTTTGTCCATCTCTCCAAACCCTGGCCATAGCTTGCTGGTCATTTGCAGGGTTCCAGTCGATATCATAGAGTATAACAACATTCCCACCAATCAGGTTCAGACCAACTCCTCCAGCTTTACTGCTCAGCAGAAACACCATCCTCCTACAAAGTGCAAGTGACATTGTTACATTATTAGATTACTAGTCGATCTGTATTATCTACCGTTAAAATAATGATCTGCAGTTCAAGAGACAGTGAAAATTTAGAGATTGGGAAAATGAGGCATGTGTCATGATATTACGCTTTGAGAAGAATTTAAGTGTTAAATAAACTAACTTGTCGTGCTTGGAGTTGAAAAGATCGACCATGTTTTGTCGTTTAGATTGAGGCGTTTTACCGTCCAGTCTGTGATATTCCAGTCCCAGACTATCACAAAGGTATCCAAGCACGTCTAGCGTCTGAAATGAACAAATTCAATACCATCATTAAATCAAAAAGGAAATGTAATTAACGATGACGTAAGCTATGGTCAACTACATGAAACGCTACATCATGTAGCGGCTAGATGACACAGAAAGAGCTCTACAGCTGGACACCTCTTACCTGGGTATAGTTTGAGACCAAAACAACCTTGTTCCCCAGTTTGGTCTGCTTGATGATAAGAGTTGATGTAACAATTAGTTTACTGCTGTCAGATACCTTCACATCTTTAACTCCTTCTACTTCTTCTTCAACCAAACAAGGGTGGTTACATAACTTCTTTAACGTGCAAATCAGCTGAATAGTCGGGGTTATAGTCGGGGTTATTAAGATTATTTATTGAGAAGAAATAGAGACTGAATATTTTTTTAATTTAAACTAAGTACATACAAAAAACTAAGTACTAAATAGACTCGTGCTATAGCTTTTATTGACTTAATGTTATTTTCATAGTATTCAAACAAGGGAATGTTTTTACAGTACCTTCAGAATATCCGAGCTGGCGATTCCGTGTAAGTAGGTTTTGTTAAGTGTATCCATGTATTTCTCCTGCAAGGAGGCACTAGCTCTGCAGAATAGGATACATTCTTCTTTTGGAGGAAGGTACTTTTCATTTATTTTACTCGATCTGAAATTAGTTGGATATTATTGTATGGAAAATTTTAGTCAGTACAACGTTTTAGAGATGTCATGACAAAGTTTTAGAGAAGTATATAAATTTGAGTTTCTAGCTGTTTTATAATTTTAAATTCTTGTCGGGATTTAGAGATTCTAACATTGAATAAAACATACCGCCTGAGAATGAATTTGGATGTTATCTTAGAGAGTTCTTGAGAGCGACTTTTGCCAAGTGAAACCTCACTATTGCTAGCTGTCGGTAAAAGGGATGTTTGAATGGGGTCTGCGTAAACATTGTTGAATGCTCTGGGACTACCGAGGATTCCAGGATTTACAAATGAGGCCAAGGTGTAGAACTCCTGGAAATTGAGATGTTGAAATTAATAAGTTGTTTCTAAATAATGTTGGTAAGTTGACACGATAATTATTATTGGTCGTACTAACAACTCGTAAACACATTTTAACAAAAATCCACAACTCAAATGCCTGTAATTGACTGTTATACCGCACATGACATAACAGTTTTACCTTCAAGTTATTCTGAACTGGAGTGCCTGTCAAAACCACCCGACGTTTACAAGGTAACTGACAGAGAGCTTCTCCAATTTTAGCAGCCACGTTCTTCAGTCTGTGCCCTTCATCACAAACTATAAGACCCCAGTCTATCTTTAATATCTCAGCTATACTCTTCCTAAACATTTCGTAACTGATGACCAACACAGAGTACAGTGGGGAAGCAGCAAAATCCTGAACATTGCTCTCACCAGCCGTTAAACCCCACACTTTCACTCTCTCCTCTCCAAGCCATTTCTTAAACTCGTTCTTCCAATTTGTTACCAGAGAGCTTGGTGTGATTACAAGGCATTTCTTGCAGATTGGTATTCCCAAAGGGCCTTGTTTCAGCAACGTCCAGACAAGTCCAATGCATTGCAGTGTCTTCCCTAAACCCATGTCGTCAGCAAGAATAGCTCCAGAACCAGCTGTATCCTGCCCCATGACACATTGAAATAAAAATCGTACACCCTCAATTTGATGAGGTCTCATCTTTTCAGCCAAATATGGATCTAAAACAATAGCCACTGCTTTTTCTGTTTCTCCTGATAACACAATGGCAGTAGGACAGTTTGGATCATAGCGAGATGTAGGTTTTTGTTTTGTTGATTCTTGAATTGAGGAGTTGCTCAATTTTTGAGGGCACATAAATCCTTTCGAACTACTTGATTGCTTGATCTTTGTTAATGGTACTGAAGAAAGAGTAGAAAAACATGTTCCAGCATTGAAGGTATCAGCAGAAATTTCCTCATCAACCATTACTTCTTTGCCCCCAATAATTAGAGTTGATCCATTAGTGATGGCCTCTAAATCAACCTTTTTACACTGAGACTTCTTGCCAAGAAACTTATTGTCCTCATCGCGAAGTTCTGCCGAGGATGCCCCAACAATAAGGATCCCGTCACCATCCCAGGTTTTATGCTTCTTTTTTGAAAATCTGACAAGGGTAAAATAATATCTTATAACTTCTAACATAACTAATATCTTAAAGTTTTGATGAGTATATATTTATAACTGCATGAAATAGCCAAAAATAGCCCACATATTGAGCTTGTGATCCAATTTTAATTCCATTACTTTAATGAGTTCACTTAGATCGCAATGTCTTGCAATCAGCACAGATATTGACAATATTACAACTTACTTCGTGAACATAGCCTTGTAAAATTTCTTGGTTTCTGAGCTTGTACATGAGTCATTGCTTTTGATAGTAAGAGGCTCTGATTTGAAACTAGGAGCAAACTTTTTCACTAAGGAAGCAGATGGTGTTGATGTTGAGGGTGGTTTTAGGTTTTTAGTATGATTGATAACTTCAGTTGTTTTCACGATAGGAGCTTGAAACTTGGTAACAGGAATTGGTTGACTTGACTGCTGCTTATTAGTTTCTGTGTTCTCCTTATCGCAGGTGGGAGCATTGAGGTAGACCTCAGCATCTTTAAGCTCCCGCAATGGCAACTGAATAGGGCTGGATTTCTTGCTGTTGGATAACATTGGGCTGCTGAATTTGATTCGCTTCCCTGGCCCTCCATTCTTGAAGGAAGGGGCGGCGGATCTGCGCATAATCAGGCATTGGCTGTAGATATTTCGGCAATGTTAGTTATATTAATTAACTATTTTTTACACCACAATTACATAACTAATTATTTTGAACATCACAAGAGTAATTTCAACTGGAAGTATTTTGCTCACACGTGCACTAGGGTTGCCATTATCGGTACACAATTTTTTATCTCGATAATCGATAATTTTTTCAAAATTATCGCGATAATATCGGTTATTGGCGATAAATTTGGCAATATAATTGAAGTAATATTTATATATGCACTCTGCATACTTGAATTATGCTCATTAAATGCTATGTTACATCTTGTGATCTTGTGCTGATTGCCTTGTTAAATAATCAATTGCAATATTGCCCTTTTATTTAACAAGCCCATATTTCATAGACGAAATATGTTCTTAAAGGTTTATTGCTTCCAGCAAAAAAAATTTTAAAAAAATCAGCACATGCACGCCGTATTTCTTTGATAGTGTCAGTTTCCTGCCTGTTAGCTGTGAACAGTCCTATCTCCCGAGCAAAGCTATCTGTCCTTGCTACCGTGGTCGAATCGCTGCCCTAATGTTGGTCTTATAATTATTTTGTCAGCGGGATAGGATTGGAATCTGGCATCTGAAATTGTTGGAGTCGCCTGTGAGTCCTGAGGACCAATCGTCGAACTACTTGATGCTTGTCTCTTTCTGCTTAAACAACCGCTGGTGCAGAGACTTAGAGTTACGTATCAAGGTTGACTTTGTGATAATTCTGTATTCTTGTCCTACATCTTCATCTAGAATACCGGGACTCCGAGTAGAACTTTACCAGTGATACGGAGTGAAGGTTCTTTCTCTTGGCATATCGTGTAGGTACGTAGCCTATCGATATACTATCTCTTCTAGCTTGCTGTCAATAAACTAAATAATCACTTTTGCTTGAGCGAGCATTCTGTCTCTTTTACACAGAAACTCAGTTACAATCTTAAATGGTGCGAGGGTCTTATTAATGTCTTTAGCTAACTCAGTCTCTTCTACTATACATCCAGTTTTCGATTGCCTAGCTCCAAGTCATCTAAAATTTCATGCACTGCATCAGTTATCCTGCCATATCTCTCCAACATACTGCACAGCGAGCTCCAATGGGTTTAGTAGTCTTGTTGTAGTCTGAGTTCCTTTTCGTGCTTCAACAAACAACAATAACTAGGTCTGACCATACAACCTCTGGCAGTATCGAGATAGCCTGACCACTGTCCGCGGACAACTGTCCGCGGACAACTGTCCGCGGACAGTTGTCCGCAGACAGTTGTCCGCAGACAGTTGTCCGCAGACACCTGTCTGCCAGATCATATTACTGTATAATAACAGAATAGTTGATTGGTTAATACTTTCAACACTACTATATAACAAATAATTTGAGGACCCCCAGTGGGAACTAATGCCTCGGTAAATGTAACGACCATTACAGGTTGTATGTCAGTGTAAATTGTTGTTGCACGATAAAGTTATCTTAAAGACATCCTAAGGACTATCAGACATCGGTTTTTAAAGCAGTTTACTCCCATCTATCACCTAAAGATTATCAGACATCACTTATCCTTATCCTCCGGAGTGCTACAAAGGTACTGTAATCATTAACTAAATTTCGAACAGTAGCATCTTTTTGTGATAAACTATGTCTAGAATACCAGTTGGCTCAAGACATTACAATCTGAGATATCGAGGGAATTCTGTTAAATTCCCCAGCAACGGCTCTTGTCCTACTGATAAATGTAGCTATTATGTGTGAGATAGATTGTAAAGTACCTATAGCTCCTAAATTTGAGAAGGTTGAAATTAGAAATCATTGTAAACGTAATGTTAAACAATTCTTAGACTATCTAGATACCTGTTCTGATTACAGTCCACTATTGGAAAGTACAGATGTTGAAGCTATCACTGCTGGCCTTTGTCATCATATTGAACAGGCATATGCAACCTTCTTCCCTTGCAAGACCATAGAAAGGCATGAAAAGTTCATACATAAACCTTCTACTGAACTTTTAAATGCCATTAATCATACACATTTTCTTCTAAAGAAATTCCGTAAAAAGAAGGATAAGAGAGACAATGGAAATTGCAATGAATGTGGTACATGTAGCAAATGTATAAAGTGTAATGAGGCCTGGGATTGCTACAAGATTCAGAGAAATATTAGAAATAAATTAGCTAAAACCTGCAAAAAGGCTAATGTAATCGATGATCTACAAGTTAAAAGTGCCAAGAATGATCTTAAAGGGATATGGAAAACTATCAAACTGGCATCAAATATGACCCCTGGTACAACTAATTGTCAAACTATCAATGAGAATGATCCTGAGCTATTTAACTTTCATTTTGCAAATGTTGGATCAAGATTACAAAATCAGGCCCCCAATATTGAAAGAGTTAGTTTTACTGATTTTTTACCTCCTAGAACTTCTAATATCTCATTTGATAGATTCCAAGAAATAAATGAAACTGATATCCTAATGTATGTCGAAACGCTCAAGAATGACAAGGCCTCATATGACAATGTGCCTCTATTTTTACTTAAGCAAGCTGTACCACACATAGTTGAGCCACTGACCCACATTGTCAATCTGAGCCTTAATACAGGTGTTGTACCAACCCTTTGTAAAAAAGCTAGAGTAACTCCCATCCATAAGGCAGGAATGAAAGATGATCCTAATAATTACAGGCCAATATCCATCCTTCCACTTGTAGGAAAACTTATAGAATACTTTGTCGGCAAGCAACTCACTGATTACATGGAAGAGAACAAACTTTTCATCCGGCATCAATATGGCTTTCGGAAAAATCACTCCACAACTTATCTGATGTACGATCTGATGGACGAAATATATATGAGTAAATCTAAGTCTTATAAACCAGGAATCATCTTTCTTGATCTTAAGAAGGCCTTTGACACAGTGAATCATGAAATATTGCTTCAAAAATTGGCATATTATGGAATTGGTGGCATTGCTTTAACCTGGTTTAAGAACTTCTTATCTTGTAGATATCAATGCACAAGGATTAATGGCAAACTAAGCTCATTTTTAGAAGTTCTGAGTGGTGTACCACAAGGAAGCATCATTGGGCCTATATTATTTAGTATCTTCATAAATGACATCATTTATGCCTGTAACCTATCTAAGCCCTTTCTATTTGCAGATGATGGTGCACTATTCTTTGATCAAACCTGCAGAAGCACATTTATAAACATGAAAATAGAACTTATGACAATCTTTAAATGGCTCAGTGTTAATAAATTATCACTCAATGAAAAGAAGACTGAATTCCTATTGTTTGATTCTGTTGACCAACATGATGAAATAACCATTGATTGTAATGAGGTAACTTTCACAATCAAGGAGTGCAAAGAGACAAAATATCTTGGCCTCATTCTAGATAGTAAATTAAACTTCAAAAGCCATGTAGATTATATTATTAGGAAGGTCATGAAGAGAATTGGTGCCATGTATAGAAGTAAAGCACTGCTACCCATTAAATATAGGAAAATGTTTGCCAATGCACTCATGTTGCCACAATTCGATTATTTAGACACGATCTATTGTAGAGCTGGCAAGACAAAACTTGCTGAACTTGACACTCTGTACAAAAAGGTAGCCAAAATAGCTCTTAACGTTCCACAAACAGTGAGCAGCCTTAATGTTTATAGAGACATGAAATGGTTACCACTCCATCTTAGACGACAACTCCATCTGTCAAATTATATGTTTAGAATCATCCATGCCCATATCCAAAAAATTTTTAATTTCCTACATTCTCAATTTTTCGTTTTCTGTGGCCCGCATGAAAAGTCTTTGTATTCGCGCGGTTCAAAGATTTTTCATGGCGGATTCCAGATTCTCAATTTTACTTTTTTAGGGCCTGGAATGCTTTTTAATAGATAATCCTAGGTTACGTTTGGGGGCGAAGCCCCCGAAAATTTTGGAAATTTAAACTAGATTTGGCCTACTGGAACGAATCTGACGATGGAGAACGATTTTAGCATACTATTTTCTGATTTCAATTTTTATTGGGATAAATTGTCTGGATTCTAGAATCCCTAAACACTTGGCTTAACTAAAGCACGAAATAGGAGTCAGCGTAAAGTATCAAGAGTTTATAATTTTGGCAAAAATGTTTTCTCATCTACTACCATCACTTTCTGCTTTCAAGCTATAAACTAATACAGGGTTAAGGGAATTTGGAGAAGGAAGCAAGTATGAGACCAAATATTCAAGAAACAAGGAATTTAAATTTTCCAAAAATATAATAATGACTATTAGTATTTACTATTTAAATAAGATAGGAAACGCAACAAAGAATGCTTATGCATTATGCATGTTTAGACGTATTACATCAACTCATAATACTATATAATGTTCTTTGAACTCCTGACATAAAGTTATTACAATTGCATTGATGACCGTTCACAACATTACATGATTGATAATGCTATTATCAAAACTTGAATGGTAGTCTATATTGGGATTTGCAGAAGTTTTCTATAGCCGCCCCCATCGCATCCCCCATGGGTGGTTTTTAGAAAAGAGTGGTTTCTTGCCATTCTCGTAGCAACCTGTTGAACAAGCTTTTCACCCTCAGCAGAACATGGTGATGGGGCCATCAGCCTAATCTGGAGCTCTTTTTGCACTCTTCTGTCATCACTATCTGTATTCTTATAACGTAAGTGTAATGCATCTATCAAAGATCCCTGACTCTCTGCAATGGCCTCACTTGTGGCGATAGTCAGGATCTTTAACTCTTTAAGAATCCATGAAACTGTTCTCTGTGGAAAATCATTATAATGTTTGATCAATAGCACCCGGAGGATATGTTGAAAGTTGGAGGACTTGATTTGTGTCACAATCTTGTTTGTAACTTCGCACAGTTTTTCAACAGTATACACCACAGATTTGACTGGGCATTCGAACATGGCACCCAAGTGTTCAGGATTGTACGTACAGCTATGTGTATGGGGGAAACCTGTGAAAGCAGCGTGTTCATGAGCCCAGCATATGACTGCAAGTGGTCGTTTTTTGTCATATAATCTACTCGCTTGCAAAAACCCGTCAATATTGCTGAGACAAAAAGTTTGAATCTTTTAAAAATATTTTCCTGGACAAGCGGCGTATAGTGAGCCCACAGAGTGTTTCGGCCAACTGATGGTACACCCATGAACTCTCCTGATTCTAGGTCTTTTTTAGCATCTCTAAATAGTTTAAATCCTTTTCAAGACAGTTTAGAAGATTTTGTAACTCATCTCTGAACATTGAGATCTCGTTAAACATGTCATTTATGATACTATCGTTCTCTTGGAATTTCGACGAAATGGCAGAAAGACGCCGACTCGTGCAAGCCAAAAATTTATCGGCTCGAGTACAAACTTCTTTGCATATACCGCATTGGACCTCGGATTTTGACTTGAACTTTGGACGATTCATGATTAATAGGAAGTTCAACAACCCAATGTAAGCAACAAAAGCAAGCGGGCAGAGCGACTAATTAAAAAACTAGAAAAAGTCCAATTCTCACGCCTATTCTAGCATCATCGTACAGATTAGTTAAATGCCCTGTTTTTCTGATATTTTCTCATGCCACACGAATTTGGGCTGTGTGTGTGCAGTGTGATACACACATTGAAGACGTGATGTGTATATGCTACTGCTTGCCAATACAGATATCGGGTGACACTGTATAGACATATCCGGTTTCATAGACTAGATAAGTAGATAGTAAAATGTTAATAAAGTAATAATGACAACTATTTATGTCGTGTACGCGAAAATGCCCCAATAATTAGCATCTGGTTAGTGGCTACTTGATGCACAGATTTTGTAGCTAATAGCAACAAACTTTGGTCTGTGAAACGAAATTGATAGACTGGATCAGTGGATCCCTGACTGAGGACATTTAAATAAAGGTCCAGAAACTTTTAGTCTGCTCTTTCACTTAAATTCCTACTGAAATATTATCGAAAATTCTCAGAGTTGGCTCTCGAATTTCCTACTTTTTGTCAAAAATTTCCTACTTTTAAAAATTTCCTACATTCTTAGAATGCGAGAATGCGGGTTTTTGGATATGGGCATCCATGACAATTGTCCTACAAACTTTATGAACAAATTTAGTTACATATCAGGAGGTAGTAGGAGCGGCGAAAGCTGCAACCTTTATGTCAATAGATCAACATCACATAAAAACTTTCAATACTTGGGGGCAAAATGTTGGAATAATGTTCGAACAGATCTACGAAATCTGCCCGATGTTAAAAGCTTTAGTGATTCGTATAAGAAACAGCTACTCTCATCTATAACAACAGACCCTAATTATACCGTCGACAATTCATATGACAAATTTTACACTGCAATCATAGTCGACGATAACTAAGTAACTTCTAATTCTTTTAAATCTGAGGCATATATAATTGATGTATCGAAAAGATATTCCCTTTTTTACCACCTTACCATTCTGATTGATTTTTCACATGACTGACATGTTTTAACTGGAGAAGGGGTTCCCACAGTGGTAGTTTTATAAACCACTTTTAATTTATTGACCTATTATACTTAGTGGTAGTTTTATAGACCACATTTAATTTATTAACTTATCATACTTAGTATTTATTTTTGGTGACTGTATCACCCAGTTTTAACATTTGATAATTGTACAGTTTATTGACGACACATTGACTGAATGTTATTTTATATTCTAATTTATATTCTAGATATTTTATTTATTTTACAACAGACGACAACTTCCTGTTTTTTCTTCTATATTAGTTACTCATATCTCTTGTACAGACTTTTTTACAAGGACATTGACAAATGATACTCACATTAGGCATTCATTATTGCATCTAAATTATTTCACTTGCATTAGGCTTAGAAATTTATTCTCTGGTCAACAGATTTCAAATGTTTAATTAATTTGTAGTATGACAGTAAGGTATATATTAAGAAGTTATTTAATTTTGCTTGGGCTATTATATTGACTAGGTATTGAGGTTTAATGATGATATGGAATTTGAATTCTATATAAATTTACACTATGTGGTTGGGGCATTTTGCATAGTAAATATGGTTACTACTCATATATATCATATTATTTGATTGGTATTCGATTTCTGATTATTTCTTAGGAATATGATTATTATATCTCAATTTGGCTTTAGGTAGGGTGCCCCGCTAAAAGAACTGGATTCTTCCAGGAAGCATCCCGTGCACAGACCTTGGTCTACATATATATTAAATTATTAACCATTCATTCTGTATGTGCACGAAAATTTATTTCAATCAAAAGTTGATTGGTTACCAGATCATATGAATGGTATGTATGGTATGTCCTGGGTGTAATGCATCTATGTCCCTGGTTCCCTGCTCGTCCTCGAAGTCTCCAGATGGACTGATATGACGCTGCTCCCCCTGCAAGAAGTACAAGAATATCAGAACAGACAGCATCCTCTCTGGACAGAAGCTCGCTCTCAAGACCTTCATACAACTGCTGTTCTGTTTGAGTATTATAGAAGGATTAGCTGGCATTGCGGTATCACAGATGACTGGACTTTCTGAAAACGCGGTGTCTGACTGGAAGATATTCATCCACACTCGAATCGCTGATTGGCTGCTTGCAAACCCTTGTCCTCTTGGTGGTCCTGGAGTAATTGTCGAATTAGACGAAGCTAAGTTCGGAAAGAGAAAATACAACAAAGGTGGATACAGAGAGGGTATGTGGGTACTTGGTGGAGTTGACCGAAACACAGGACAATGCTTCCTCCTCCCTTGTCCGGAGGAGGAACGTGGAGCAACTACTCTCCTCCCTCTCATCCGGCGGTGGATTCTTCCTGGGTCTATCATCTACACAGACGAGTGGGGAGCTTACAACACGCTAACAGCGGAGAGGTACACGCATGGTACAGTCAACCACACATACATGTTCAGGGATCCCTTAATCGTTTAATAAGCCTTGACACCACCGCTGATTGAAATTCGCGTGCGATGATGTGAACCCTGCTTGACTCAGGGGATGATGTGAACCCTGCTTGATTCAGGGGATGATGTGAACCCTGCTTGATTCAGGGGATATTCTTATTATGCAGTAAAATGATCTGGTAGACAGGTGTTTGTGAACAGTTGTCTGCGGACAACTGTCCGCGGACAGTTGTCCGCGGACAGTGGTCTGGCTATCTCGATACTGCCCAACCTCTTAAGTTACCTACTAGAAGCGATAACGCAACATTTCAACATTCCAAAAAAAAAATCAACTTTCACTGCCACAAATTCATACACAGTACACACTACACAGCACGTTTTTGAGCTTGTATTTGTTATTCTCTTTCAAAACAGACCATCACACTGTAAATTATGCTAGCACTGGGTTTTAACTTTATAAACAGAGAAATAGATTCGAAAAATATGTTAAATGTTGGCCATTTTGCCCTAATAAAAATGTGTTGATTATCGCGATAATTCTCGAAAATTATCGCGATAACCGATAATGATTTTTGGGAAATTATTGCCGATAATTATCGGCCGATAATATCGGTTGGCAACCCTAACGTGCACGACTCTACAATAAGCAAATTCAGATAAATCATTAATTCATGAGCCTATAGAACACGAGTTCTAGAATATCATTACAATCAAATCGAGAAAAATTTGCAAATTTAGATAAAATAAATTGAGATGTATGAAGGAGAAAAGGAATTGCATTGATTCCCTGTTCATCTAAGGTCAACAGATTAATCAAAATAATCAAATTTAAATAATAATGTCACATTCGACATCGTAAATATTTGTCATGAATTGAACTAAAATGATAGGTACAAAGACCCATTAGTGAGTCAACGACATCACACATAAGAACTCAGATCTGCAGCTTCGTAACTAATTCGTGGACAATTGCTTAAATAACGTTTTACTAAAACGTGGTAGGAAATGTCATATATCCTTTTCTCTAGATTTCCTAAATTATGATATACCTTTCTGTAACCCCATGTTTTCCTTAAGCATGGTTGTTTTATATGACAGACTCTAGGACTCTAGAGACCTGCTAGAGCTTACGATCCTTGGCGGAGCTTTCTTGGTGAGTTACTTTCTCTCCGTCAAGCGTTTCTGGTTTTATACCTTTACTCTTTATAGAAGTATCGTAAGTTATTAGGAGAACAAGTTTTAGGAAAGTTCTTAGAAGCTTGAATCCGCGAAATTTTGAGAAAGACTTTGGATAAGAAAGATTACGGTCTTGAAGGTTTAGTCTTAAAATATATACTTTAAACATCAAGTCGCGCGATATTCTCATCATTATTATCATTGAAGTAGTGCACTGTGAATTATCACAGAACTAGAGTTTCGAGAGTCTGGAAAACAAAGTTCATTTCACAATAGAGTACTATATACTGCATACTGGAAATTGCAAATATCGTATTTCTAACCAGCTCATCTTAATATCATAACACACCTGCTAGTGCTCACAGATTCCATTAATAAAACGCACTCAATTACAAACCATCGCTGTAGTGTACCACATCAAAAAACGATTACAAATTATCAAATTCGAAATTATTTAATTAAGTCAAAAACATTTATACATCAATCACGGGTCCGTATATAGCCGATTTTGCAGATTTAAGTTACAGAAAAACTAGCGGACCTAGCGGCAATATCGGATAGCTAGCGGAAACTAGCGGATGTGTTAATGAAGCTAATACTATTCTCCGCTAGTTTGCGCGTGGCGTCCTCTATACTCCGCTAGCCATCCGCTAGGTATAAATGCTGCATTTTAGTGTATCTCCGTTAGGCGCCCGCTAGCTTCCGATAGCTGACCGCTGGTTTTTCCGTAACTTAAATCAGGCAATACGGACCTGTGCAATATCTAAAGAAAAACGACTACAATATTGTTTTACATTTGTTAGTTGTTCGCGTTCGTTATAATTATAAATATTTGTCGGTGAGTTAAGATAACGCTCCACGATTTTTTTAATTGCTCAAATTGTGAGCACCGCTTATTTAAGAAAAACAAAATGAAGAAAAACAAAATTTTTATTTACCACAAAACAATCAATTCATATCATGTTATTTATAGATGAATTCAAATTTGAAATTCAACCCTTTACAAAGCCCGCCGAGCACACAGCCTCACATTGTTGAGAAATCCTTTTGCCTTTGGTGCGGCTGTAAGCGCAACGCGCAGGGTCTATTCAATTGTTGTTTTACAATGACATGTCACATTTGTTCATTACGAAAGCCAAAATTCCAGGCAGAAGCAGAATAATTTATTAAAAAAATTTGATCTTTTGCGTTGACCATTGTTAATGATTTGGCCCGGCGCGCGCTACTTCGTAGCTCGTGCCATCAAGAAGAAAGCGGCGCGCGCTACTTCGAAGAAATTTAGACGAGTAACATCCGTCAACTTTTGCGCAGTACATGGTACAATGATAATAATTTTATAACTATTATAATTTTCGCGCGGCATGATTATAATTTAAAGCTGCCAGTAAACTAATTATACAAAATTATACAAAACTCAATTGCAAATTCAAAATCATATATTTATATTTATTGTAAACTTTAACAATTTCATTTTTTAAAATTTTGTAAAAAAAACAAATCAAATTTTAAAAAAATACTGATGTAAAGCAATTTAATAAAAGTTACCTGGGGACCTCAGGCTATCATGTTCATTAATAGAGATTTGGCGGAATGACAGGCTGAGCGCCGCCCAGTAAAATAAAAGTTAACTTTATTTCAAAGAGTTAACAAAACCCAAATTTTGATAATTCCAAAATCGATTTGTATTAAATGTTTTAAAATATTGCTGATGGCTGAGCAGCTAAGCTATAAATATTTATTTTAAAAACTTTATAAATGATCAATTGCAATTTTACACTACAGTCAAATATTAATTATAGTATAAAATAAAACATTAATTATTAGCAGGGATTCATAAATAACATTTTTTGTTGAATTGCGCCGCGCACCTTTGCACAATTCTTAAGCGCATAACAGGAATCGAGCGCTATTACAAAATTTTGTTTTTACCTTACCTGAATCGTTGCTATCAAAGTGTTTCAATGTTCGGTCAAATACACCTTTAATTAATTAATTAAAATTGAAATTTAAAAACACCACTATTAAGCGTACACTTTTACTCAGCAGTGTCACTACAACTAGTTTACAAAAATACTTTTAAAACTATATATCAAAAGCAAAATTAAGTTCTATGTATAAATTCGTTCATAAAACCTAGTAACTCAACCTACAAAAAAAAAATCGTGGTTTCTATTTTTTGCATGTTGCCTGTTGGCCGGGTTAATTTTTAGGGAATGGGTTGCCGTATTCTGACAAATGTGTTCAAGCCCCAAAAAAAATTCAATTTCTTTCACCACATCATTGCATTGGTCAATTTCGGCATGTTATCGTTTTCCCAAGAGGAGGTACAGGTGTCTGGGTTCTGACTATTGGTAATTTTTTAATGAAGCTACATAGGTCACAAAGCGGGCGTCAGTCAAAACTCAAAATATCAGACATAAAAGGGCAGCAACATGCTCAAGTGATGGGCGGAAATCCGTTAAGAAATCTCATGTTGGGTTCATCCCCTTCTTATTCCATCCTGTGAATCCTTTGACTGTTGACATTCTTCATGTCATTGAACCATTTCTGTCACTTGTGTACTATGCTCTGCCAATTGCATCAATGATTTAAATAAATGAACCATTTTTCAATTATGTAAGCACCCAATATCAAATGTAATATACTGCTAACGGGAAATTTTCTGTTGAAGTATGCATTACATGCCATCCGAAAGTTTATCCCGAGAGGCTCACATTAGTAAAACATACATCTGTTGCCACACAGTTGAATGTGAGATACATACATTCATTCATAGTTGTTAGATATTGTCAGTTTTGGTGATAACTCCTAGAAATATAGCTTATTTCTCATCATACCCAACTATTGCACCTCAGCTGTTATGGATAGTTATTTGATAAACAAGGTGCCAAAAGAAACGCTTGTGCAGCTGGAAGAGTTCTCAGCTTACCTCAAAGATCATCGAAAAACTAGAACATCATATGCAAGTGTGATCAAGACAATAAATATATTAAAGGTAAGCTTTAATCATACTACACCGTTAGTTGTTACTATAACTTACCTATGCAGTCTTCAATTAACTTTTTATTCTATTTTGTAATGGAAAAGATGGACCTTAATTTTTTAATTTCAGGAGTTGATATGTGCAAGTGACTGGGTAACAGCTGGCGAGCTTATCAAGATAATTAAAACATACTCAAAGTATCTGCCACTAATACTGAGTAATGAAACTGTCGTAAGTAATGTTATCAGAAGAGTTCTGAAGATAATAAGGGAAGAGAATGAAGGGCCAGATGCAGCAAGCTTTGCAGAGGGACTAGCCATATTTTTCAGATCAGATTCCCAATCATCAACCATTGGAAGGTAAGTTTGCTCTTTTTTGCAAGCATGCTTTTATCAACTGTTTTCCATGAACCAATCACAGCTCAGTCAAATATTGTAGTTCTATGTACTTCTCAAACAGTTTTCATTGAATGATCTAAATCATTACATGTATTCTCTTCAGAAAAGACCTGCAAGACAATATCCTGAACAGTATTGTAGAGTTGCTTGCTGAGCAAGAAAACAGCAAATCTAACATCATCACCATGGCTCTTGAGCATATCCACGCTAATGAGGTATTACTCTATTCTTTTTTAATTGAGAAATGTCACTATATTTCATTAAACCTTCCCAGGCTACAGTTCAAAATATTTTCTTAATTTTGGTATGGTTGCACTCTCGATGAAATAAATAATCTCAGTAATTATGACTGATTTGTAACTTTTTTCCTCAGCTCATCTTAACTTATGGGCACTCAAACACAGTAAGGGAGTTCCTCCTTCATGGACGGAAGAAGAGGAACTTCAGAGTTGTGGTATGTGAATCAGGGCCCTCGCTAAAAGGACACCAAATGGCAAAGGAGTTGAGCGATGGTGGTATTGAGACAACTCTTATTGCTGACAGTGCTGCATTCGCTATCATTCATGCTGTTAATAAGGTGAGTTTGTTTTATCTACAGGGTGGGCCAAAAGTCAGTGTGCAAACGTTGGCCTTAATAGCTCAGTCACTGAGTGCCCAATTGAAATAATTTGTTCTGGTATGAGTTACTACCACCACTGGTTCGAGAAATTTGTCAAATCGAAACATATTTGTGTTCATTTTTTTGAAAAGAAGGTTCATTTTCGCATTTATTTGATAGTTTGGATAGTCGGATCGAGCCAAATTTTATTGAATTGTGTTTGGCCATTTAAATTACGTTTGCCCTGAAAAAAATGAGAGTTCTAGCTTCTCAGATGACCGAGATATGAACCTTAACGAGGTTATTCATTACGTGTGATCAGGTGATTGGTTTACCTAATCACGTGATTAGGTGACCCCGTTAACTACCCCGTTAAACATTATGGGAATTGTGAAGGCTGCCCAATTAAGGTGTCGTGTCGCGGTGTCACATAATCACCCAGTCAATTTTGTTAACGAGATACAGAAAATGCTTGATAACCTCGTCATTTCTAATCCGTTTTACCTCATATTTTCAGATCATTTGCAACATTTAATAATCTACCGTCTCTGAAAAAATTAGACATCTAGCATGTTCGGGGAGAACAATATAAGTGTTTTAATATTGAATGGGCGTGGTCTGAAATATTCGAATTTTCAAATTTTGGTGACGGAATCCTCGAACCAGTAGGTACAGTAAACCATCTGCAAAGCAACAACCCTCAAATATAAAACACGGCGGAGGTATAAGACCCAACGTTTGCACACTGACTTTTGGCCCACCCTGTATGATTACTGCATCACATCGATTAAGTCACCTTGCCATACTGATAAAGTTACCACATTGTTTCATGTAAGTAAGTTGTTTGTTTAACTTACCACTTTCTTACCACCACCAGGTGATAATTGGTACCCACACTATAATGGCTGACGGAGCTCTGAGAGCACCGAACGGAGCACACCAGCTAACACTTGCAGCAGAACACTTCTCTGTGCCAGTCATAGTTTGTGCTGCACTTTACAAACTCTCTCCTACTCATCTCTGCTCCTATGATCAGGATGCTTTCAACAAGATCATAGGTCCTGAGAACATGCTGAATTTCAGTAATACCAAGCTTCATTCAAAAGTAAGTTAACCTTTTTCACAAAATGTTGTTTTTTAGCGTAAAGAATTTAGCAGTTCTCTTTGTACAAATATCTCATGATTATCCTAACTATAGGATGGTTATCGTGGTTGGATTAGGAGGTGGCACTAACTCTGGGAAAACTACAATTTGTAAGAAACTAGTGGAAAATATCCCCAAATGTTTCGTCTTCAACCAAGACAAATACTTCAAAACACTAGAGGAGGCAAAACTTGTGTTCCCTGATTCTGAGGTGAATTGGGAAACATGTCCCGCACTGAAAATGGATGATCTTGTAGCTGATGTTAAAGAAGAAATGAAGAAAGATCACAACGTGATAGTTGTTGAAGGGCATCTCGCCCTTAATTTTGCTCCTCTGATAGAACTGTATGACGCGACTATCTTCATCACCTTATCACATGAACTTGCACTCAAAAGGCGGCTAACTCGTTGTTACGATCCACCAGATGGTCCGGGATATTTTGAGAATGTTGTGTGGCCTGCATATTTTCTGATATTGGAAGAAGTGAAGGGAAATGAAAAGTTGAAACCTAATTTCTTTGATGCAGCAGATCCTGATGTTTGTTATGAAGGTGTAGAGGAGGTTGTAAAGGAATGTCTCTCTCAGAAGTGATGTGTTGTTTTTTGCATATTTAGATTATAGTTGTAACTTTTATAACGTGATATTTTTTTATTTTATGTGTATGTGATGATATTTTTAACATAACTTTTATCCAAAATTTATTTTGATGATGGGGATATTATTTCAACTTTCGAACATCGAGCATTAATATATACATTATACATACGCTTATAAACGTATGTATAATGTATATATTAATGTATTATATATACAAGTTTCTTTGAACTAATTGTAATTTCATGATTTGCATATAATATTTCAATTCTTTTTTAGCTCTCCGAAGAATAATTTCATTCATAAAATGATCCACAAACTATTAAAATTATAGATGATTGTTATCAATAAAACTTTATTTCGTGTTACACTGTCGTGTTTCATTTTTGATAATTGTCAAAAGGGACTGACCTCACTCGCCAATTCACGATTTTTTATAATTTATGATTTTGAACATTTAAATGGTAAAAGATTTCAAAAAAACTCTCAAACCCAAAAATTTGTAATTTACTAATTTATTTGATTGATTAAGAAAATTTCATGATATTACCTTTTGGCTTTTATCTTGCGAAATGGTCAATGAAATTTTAAGTTTAATAAGTTATTATAATTTCAGGTGTTGGTATCGAATCCTGAGTTTGACTACGTCCCAAGTGATATGATAGAACTGTTTATAACTAACACTGGAGGACATGCTCCCTCGTATCTTTACAGAATCGTATCAGGTAATTTCACCTAGTCTATCTGTCAACTGATATATTATCTTGTATCTCCATAATAAATGCTTTAATAGTGATTCTTTAGTTGAACAAAATTGCAGACTCACTAAACTCATCATTTGTGATTTGTATATTTTAAAATAACTGAATTTATTATCCCCCTCCTCTCAGAGCTGTATCACCCGCATGATAACGATCTGGACAACATGTGTGTAGAGGAATCTGATGACGAACACTGACCAACGTGACCAAATCACGTGACCAACGTGACCAGATCTTCAGTTCAACCTTATCTGTCATCTGATGTTTAGGAAGTATAGGAGACTCACCACAAATGGAAGAGCAGATTGTGTGTCACTTTTCTTGCTGTGCAAGAGCTGGACTCTAGGCTGGGGTTTAGGACTCAACATTTCTGAATTTATCTGAATTTGAATTAATATATTTGTTTTTAACGACAATGGTATTCCATCTCTAATCTTGATAATTAGCATGGCAGGGCTAACTTTAAAATTTAATAATAATTATATAACAACCTACTCATTTTCGTTACCAAGCCATACTAAGATTGATTTCTGTTCATTATTGTTAAATAAAAATTTGAAAATCAAATCGTCATGTAGTGTTCAATCTAAACTGAAAAACGAAACATTTAAAAAGGTTAGGATGGCAGTAGAAGGAAGAACCGTAGCACTTCCAGTGCGAAAAGTTATAATCCACCCCGTGGTTTTGTTTAACATTGTAGATAACTACGAGAGAAGGAATGACAACAATAAGCGTGTCATCGGTACACTCATGGGAAGGTTTGTAGTTTTCCGTGTTTTGCAACTGACGTTTTTATCATTTTGATATGATGGAGTTTTCTTTAAATGTGGCAAAATTTTGGTAATATTGAATGTTACTTGGAAGTTAATCGAGCATAAAATAATCTTTAAAATTACAGTTTTTAAAATTAAAACTTATCAGGTACGACAAAGGAACCGTGCACGTGACTGAGTCGTTTGCTGTTCCCCATCAGGAGACTGAAGAAGAGGTGTCCATGGACATGGAGTACGCTATGAGAATTGGAGAACTCCAGAAAAAGGTTCGGCTTTCTCAGATCTCAGAACTTTCTATAAAACGGATAAGTTGATTTGTGATATAAGCCACTTGAAATCTATCATTCACTTGCTCTGATACAATACCGGGAACGATGCCTCATTACCCGACCCTCTATCACCCTCTCTCACCAGGTAAACACGACGATGTACACAGTAGGGTGGTACAGCAGTGGAATAATAATCAACGAGTACAGTTCCCTGATACACGCCTTCTACAAGTGTCAATGTCCCACCCCAGTCCATCTTACTGTAGACACGCAGCTCAAAGAGCAGAAGATGAAGATCAACACTCACATTACGTCTCAATTAGGAGCTAAGAACGGAACTGAGGGTTGTATTTTCACTCCTGTTCCTCATGTCATTACTGGAGCTGAGGCTGATCAGGTAAAATTAGGCTAACTTTTCAATGTAAATTTTCAGGTTAAACTTTCAATCTATCACTGGCATGAAGAATGCTCTTTCAATAAATATATTTCATCTATCAGTGACCTACCAAATTTTTGCAGGTAAGTTTGAAGTTTTTCCAAGGACTACGAGGAACCAGAAAGACTCCAAATTTCAACGATCAAGAACAGATAATAAATTCTTGTGACGACATGATATCGCAGATTAACATTGTCATGGGACACGTCAAAAAGGTGAGTAAAATAAGGTTAAATTATGATATTTAGATCAGTTATTTGTTTAGAAGCAAGTAAAACTTGACAGATTATATCTCATTATGAGACCATGATTACTAAAAACATGACGTGACTTTTAACAAACTGTATTGTACAGGTGATAGCTGGAGAGGTACCCAGTGATAAGGAGTTAGGAAGACAGCTGATGGAGGTTGTACAATCTATACCTAACCTTGATGGAGATACTATCACTAACATGCTCAACTCTCATATGCAGGTATATTATACAATGATGATATTTATCGTTATATTACATCACGCAAATAATCAGTAAACTGGGTTTTTAACTATCGAAACCTCTTTATTTTTAAAGTCATCTGATGACATGGACAGCATGACAGTTTGTGATAAATTGAGAATTAACCAAGAGTTTGAATCGAATTAACGTCATCATCTCCAGGATCTTCTCGCTGTGGAATACTTGACATATTTAACGAGACAGCAGTTGGCTATCAGCGCCAGAATTAACCAGATTCTATAGAGATCACATTAAAGCTGTTTTTAAAGGAGAATAATCTTGAATTTATTGTGCGGTAGAGTTTCTTATTTTTGACGTCCAGTTTTGGTTCACTCAAGCTTGTAACGGTAGATTCAGGATTGTCAATATTTGGAATTGTTTTATTTATTGATCAATGGGTTTCTGTGTTTCATTCCTAGTTGAGAGTAGAGCTAAAGTATAAACTTAAATACGCTTCTCAAATCTTTGTCTGGTTTCTTTTCAATAAAATATATTTTTTGTTACCCTATCACTGTACCACAAATGAACAGCTAACACTCCCTGGCAGCTACAGGATGTTAGTTGATGATTCAGATGACGAGGCTCCCTGCCTGATACCAGCCGAGGTTCCCACACTGGTTTCCGGATCTGTAGCTGAAGATGATACCCCCAACATTCCCGTTACCATCATTACCGGTCAGTACTGGTTAACAAGGTGTTTTACTGGTCAATACTGGTTAACAAGGTGTTTTACTGGTCAGTACTGGTTAACAAGGTGTTATACTGGTCAGTACTGGTTAACAAGGTGTTATACTGGTCAGTACTGGTTAACAAGGTGTCTTACTGGTCAGTACTGGTTAACAAGGCGTTTTTCTGGTCAGTACTTGTTAACAAGGTGTTTTACTGGTCAATACTGGTTAACAAGGTGTTTTACTGGTCATTACTGGTTAACAAGGTGTTTTACTGGTCAGTACTGGTTAACAAGGTGTTTTACTGGTCATTACTGGTTAACAAGGTGTTATACTGGTCAGTACTGGTTAACAAGGTGTTTTACTGGTCAGTACTGGTTAACAAGGTGTTTTACTGGTCAGTACTGGTTAACAAGGCGTTTTACTGGTCAGTTGTAAGGGTTTATCGAACTATTTTAAACTTCTCCGCAGTTCATTTTCACGTAACTCACTATAAATATACTAACTCACGCACGTATTGATACTTCGATCTAGTTCATCTTTTAGAAAAGTTTATCTTGGAGGATATCAGTGACGCGATTCCCACTACAGTGTAAGCTGCAGTGTAGCTGTAATAGTCTACCGCCATTCGGAATGAGTGTGAACTTGCTTACCAGGCAATCATGATTTCCGCTTGGTACTCATCAGGTCTCTAAGAAAGCCAACAGTGTGCTGATATGCACTGTCATATGTACTTCCTAGAAGCAGCACACGGCCCATTTCGGACTTGCACGAGTTATATTTTTAATTTGGCTGTTTCAGGTTATTTGGGAGCAGGTAAAACGTCGCTGTTGACGTATATTCTAAAGGAGCAGCATGGTAAGCGTATAGCAGTGATAGTTAATGAGTACGGCGAAGGAGCGGCTGTGGAGCAACCGGGAGCTCTGGGAGTGGGAAATGAGAAGTAAGAGGTGATTATAACTGATCATTTTAACGAACATTATTAAATTATATTATATATGCTTTTAAATGATTAAAGTATCCTGTTCTCTAATTAATCTCTGGCTTTGTTTTAACCTGATGACAATGTCAGGTACGAAGAGTGGCTGGAAATGACGAATGGTTGTTTGTGTTGTGCTGTGAAGAGTAACGCTGTTATGGCTATAGAGAAACTCATGGAGAAAAGTGGAAAGTTCGACTATGTTCTCATCGAAACAACTGGTAAATATTCTCTTTTAGTTCTACTGTTTTGAACTATATTTCGTTTTACCAAGACCCCGTAAAGTTGAAGCTACGAGATAAAAACACTATTAATAGCTAAGAGATCACCTCACCTGAAGAGTCTTCAGTGAACTTAAACTGTCCAGGTTTAGCTGACCCAGGGAACATAGGACAGACGTTCTGGGTAGATGAGGGACTTTCTAAACTGTACCTGGACGGTATTGTCACTCTCTGCGATGCTTACAACTTCAACAAAACATTCCAGGTATTTACACTCTTAGACTAGTTAGTCGTTATTTGAAATGGAATATTTCTATCAATATAATGGACCATGAATATGAAGATGTTTTTCTTCTCATAGCGTATCTTGCTGCTGATTCACTGTAATAAAACTGAACTATTTCACCACGTATTTGTCGCCGCCCCTGCACATATCCTCTATTCTAGGGTTTGCAACTTATCGAGATAATCGATACATTATAATTTATATAGAATTATGGAAATATTACCGGGTCGATATGTAGGACTAGGTAAGGCTTGTAGGTTATATTTATATTGGACTACGCTTTCTAAAACTCCTCCGTTCAACCCGTCTCATAGTAAATAAACTCTTCCATCCAAGTCGATCCCTTGCTAAGTTCACTAAGTTGGTAAAATCGTACTTTCTATGTTTTAGCGGGAGGAATATTATCTCGTTGCATACCCTATCTTCAACCTGTTCATCCATTCCTTCCATACAATCCACCTCATTGTCCATTCCCCAAGAAACTGGGAACCCATAATTTATATTGATTTGAAGTTGAACATACGCACAGATTGAAATTCCTTCGTCATGACTAAATCCTATATCCTAGACTCCATGAAATTTGTAGGCAGACTTTTAGATTAACATTTTTTAGCTTAAAATAAGTATCAATTCTAAACACGATCATAGATCATAATTCATAGCATAATAATATAGGTTGTAATGAAAAGTTCAATAAATGTAGAATTTCTCAGTATAATAGTAGCAATGATAAGCCTTACCAACACTCACCTCTTTCCTCAATTAAGTAATATTACAAAGTAAATCATATATATGATGAATGTTAAAAACTGGACTTCTGTGTTGAATTAAGTGATGTTAATTTTAAAGAATGTTCTCATTTTGTTCATCAATGGTTTCTTTAGTTCACAAATTATCTGTCTCAGCTAATACTTGATTTTGAAGTTCGCGATCCTCTTGTACTCGTAATGGTTCCATTTGCATGACATCTAGCCCGGAGTCAGCACTCTGTATGTCTACACTCCTTGTCTGAAAAAATCTTGCGATCGAAGACATAATTGTGGAGGTACTGTTCCTGATGAGTCTTTTTACTTCCCCTAATTTTCTTCCTAGGAACTCTGTTAAAGTTTTTTCGTATATCAGCGGGTTGATAACAGAGTTAAGTGGAAGAACTATCATCGCATACGTAGCATAGGGGGGGGTCCACGTTAAAAAAGTTAAATTCTAAGATCGAGATTTTGGAATTTAACATTAATTACTTTAACTTTTTTAACTTTTTTAACATAAATTAAAAATCAGATTTTGGCTGACTAATCGGTTCAAATTTTAACATAATTACCCAAATTAAACTCAATTATGAGTGTTGACCTTTAGTACTAGTAGTACCTCGCTCTTGCAATTGTTTTCTGTAGTTGTAACTGATTTGATAACTCTACAAAAAAAACACCTTGTATCTATATATACACATAATTGTATAATTTACTAATATACTTCGACTTACTTCGACTTAGGGCGGCTTCAGTGTCCGAACAGAAATAGTCTTCTTCCAAATCTGTCTATCCAGCATGAGTTTGTTAATCTCTTTGCTGTCGTCAAGCCCCGTGTCCTTCCGAAGGATGTCAATGTATGTGAGATGTGGTCTTCCCCTTCGACGATGTCCTTGAAGGGGTTCCCAGAAGAGAAGTTGATGACTCAATAGTTCTTCATGTCTGGCTAAATGACCTGCGAGTCTCATCCTCCGTGCAGCTATCTTATCAGATGCTCTGATGAGGTGTCCATACACCTTGGCGTTACTCAACTGAGTTGGCCGCAACACTATCTGTTATAAGATCAAGGTCGTCAGCAAAGTCCGCATCAGTGACCTTGACTGCCGGATAGCGACGGCTTCGTCTATGGTGTAGAGTAAACCCAAAGTCCCTACCCTCTAGGGACACCCTCATAATGTAGCCAATTACGATTATGAATAGGTAGGGCGCCAAAGTGTCTCCCTGCATCACTCCTGCTAGAATGAAGAATGCTTCACTCAGACCGTCCTCGGTAATCACACGAGCAAATGTATCTGCACACATTCTTTGTATCAAGCCTACAATCTCCTTGGGAATTCCATATGCCAGGAGGATCTTCATGAGGAGTCCACGGTGTCCGCTGTCGAATGCCTTCTTGAAATCAATGAAGAGCATTACCGCGGTCAGATCTTTATCCCGGGCTCCCTCAAATACCCTTCTTAGGCCAAGAATATGACTAGTTGTTGACCTACTCTCTCTGAATCCGTTCTGATTGATCCTTAAGATGTCTTCCATGGCAGGTTTGATCCTGTTCAGTATCATCTTATTGAGAGTCTTACTCACTATAGATGTCAGTGCAATACCTCTATAGTTATCTACTTTGGTCAAATTCCCTTTCTTTGGAACAGGCACGATGTTTAGGTGCTTCCATTGGTCAGGAACATCGCCATCAACTAGTGCTTTATTGCAGAAGTCAAGGATCAAATCATCAACATCTACCCTCTTCAGTACTTCAGGGGCAACTCCATCCTCTCCAAATGCCTTACCTTCTTTAATCGATTTCGTAGCCTCCTCCAGTTCGGTCTTGGTGAACTTATCCACACTGATGTTTTGTGGTGGATGTACGACTTGTATGTCCACCTCTTCGTTTGGAACTACTGGAGGTTGTCCAAGTAGCTTGGTAACGTGGTCTTTCCAGGCTCTCAATCTATCCTCTCTACTACCTCCTTCTACAAGACCACATGGCTTCTTCTTTCTCCCACTGACCTCATTAACAAGATTCCAGCTCTCTTTGTTCTTGCATCTATCGGCTGCGTTTTCAGCTTTTCTTATTTTCTGTTTAAGCAGCTCTTCCTCCACAGTACGGTAGCATGCAGAGAGAGTGTCTTTCTCCTCGGCAACTGTCTGTCTGTTGTCTTCACAAGGATCCAGATGGTAGGTCTCCTTTGCAGCAAACAATTTGCTTCTGGCTTCCTCTACTCGTGGGTCGTTGGCAGGATCGTCATACCGCTTCTTATGTACTTATTAGTGTATTCAAGTTTTTGTTGTGTATTCAAGTTTTTGTTGTGTGGAGGATGTTTTAACTCACTCTTGTGTGCCTAGTCTTGCACTGTCAGTATTTCTCGACACTTTGAGCACACAAAACTGTCAGTTTTCGCGACAATTGTCAGATTTCGTTTTCAGTTCTGTCAATTTCAAGCGCTACTAGCTCTACTACTAGACACTAGTAGTCTACTTCAGCTCACATTAAAGGGAGTTTTC